TTGATGGACCTCTGCCTAAAAAATTTATGATGAAATATATACATATGCATACCAATGAGTAAGTTCTTTTTTTGCTATTATAGTAAAGTGCTTAATAATTTCCCAGATACATATATTGCACCAGTCACATAGGTCTCATACTACTTCAGATATATTTTATATATACTGTATATACAATACATATATTGTCTTACAAGTTAGATAAAATTTATGACTCTTCTTTATGTATATAAGTGAGGAATCTGCATCTCTAAATGTGGAAAGATTAACCAAAGTTTAATAAATAATTATATACAATGCTTGTGTAAGTAGCCGGAATGAGTAAGATCTGAATCGTAAAAGGACAAAAGTGCAACTAATGTGACATTTTATTGTGGCAACGTTTCGCTCTCCAGGAGCTTTATCAAGCCATTACAAACAATACATGGACACAGAGGGTATATAAAGGCTCAGAGTGAGGTGCAATACTAGTGAGGTACCATTTCGATGTTCACTAGTGGTGGTAGTAGTAGTAGTAGTGACAAAAGTAATACAATATGGTAGAGCAATTAATTCGTACATGAGTAAAAGGATATAAAAGTTATTACTTGGGTAACATAAAAATAGGTTGGACAAATATAGACTGGAAAGAGGCAGGTTGTTTCAGTGTTCACTCTCTGTAATGTGCTTTGTGTAGTATAACAGGAGAGACTATGTGATGGTAGGGTTTACCGTTTTCAGGAGAATTCTTGCTAAGACTTCAGAGATGGTGAAGCTGCCGTTGTTTTGTTTAATTGTATTCGAAACAGCGATCAGTGCTGATTCGAGGCACTTGTGTCTGCGGAAATTAGTTTCTTTGATCACTAATTGGGCGTCTCTGAATTTCATGAGATGATGGTGCAATTTCGGTGTTTTACACAGGTGTTGTTCAAGTTATCGCTCCTAACCAGGACAAAATCCAAGCACCACGAACCATTCAATGCAGGAGTTTACACTATACCCTGTGGAGGCTGTGACAAGATTTACGTAGGTGAAACAGCAAGAAACCTCGACACCCGCCTCAATGAACACATTTACGCATGTAGGAGCGATAACTTGAACAACGCCTGTGTAAAACACCGAAATTGCACCAATCATCTCATGAAATTCAGAGACGCCCAATTAGTGATCAAAGAAACTAATTTCCGCAGACACAAGTGCCTCGAATCAGCACTGATCGCTGTTTCGAATACAATTAAACAAAACAACGGCAGCTTCACCATCTCCGAAGTCTTAGCAAGAATTCTCCTGAAAACGGTAAACCCTGCCATCACATAGTCTCTCCTGTTATACTACACAAAGCACATTACAGAGAGTGAACACTGAAACAACCTGCCTCTTTCCAGTCTATATTTGTCCAACCTATTTTTATTTTACCCAAGTAATAGCTTTTATATCCTTTTACTCATGTACGAATTAATTGCTCTACCATATTGTATTACTTTTGTCACTACTACTACTACTACTACCACTAGTGAACATCGAAATGGTACCTCACTAGTATTGCACCTCACTCTGAGCCTTTATATACCCTCTGTGTCCATGTATTGTTTGTAATGGCTTGATAAAGCTCCTGGAGAGCGAAACGTTGCCACAATAAAATGTCACATTAGTTGCATTTGTGTCCTTTTACTTTACATATGTCGGTAATTCTACCAACTTTATTACAAGATCTGAATCGTCATTCTTTATATTTATAAATACTTTGAAGTGTTCTTTCAAGAATTAATGAATTTTTGTATACAAAGTATTTTTTAGGATGGTAATTATGAAGTATGCCAGAAGACTGTAACTAGTTCACTGGGGAATATACTGCAATACCATATGGATATATCCATGTATGCCATAAATGGTGCATGGATTTTGCATAGTGTACTTACCATTAGTATAAGTACCTAAAATTTGTTTAGAGAATGTTTATTGCATGGATGATTATTATACTAAGTGTTAAAACTCACGTGGGTCATACAGCACTAATCTATTTCACACTTTCGCTGTATAGTCCTTGTGGCTTAGCACTTCTTTTTGATTATAATAATAATAATATTTCACACTTTATTTTGGTGTTTTCAAAATTAAGAGGTTATATTAACAAAAAACTAAACTCATATGGGAAAATTAGAGAAATATTTGAACCATTTCAACATTCATTTATTATTATCTTTTGTGTCACAATTTCTTTCTGCAAACCAGTGCTCTGGGCTTAAATAATAATCTCTGTTATACTGTTATAACAAGCCAATGCTCTGGGCTTTGCTAGTAAGTTAATGAGCCAGATGGTGCCATGACAGACCCAGACAAAGACATAGACTATCATTTCCATGGCCTTATTGGCATATTTATAACCTGACCCATTAAGGTATGTCATTTTAATTTTCATGGCTATTATTAGTAAACATCAAACAATCAAAAGTAGATCAAAATATAACCAGCAATAGTTTGCAGTCCTTGGTGAGGTATGCAAATAATTAAATTATACATGGTGGTCAGGGGAACTTTAATACATGAATTTGTTTTGATCATCTTTTAGGAAACAGCAACTAGATGCATATCTTTTTTAGTGTAAAACATGATATTCAGTTTGGATGTCATATGTAATTGCATTTTTGCAATTTTCATGGGTAAACACAAAATGTAGTACAAATCACATATTCACTGATGTGTCCAGCAAAGATCAAATGTATTTATGTGCCCAGAAAAGGTTGTACATGGTGCTTGTTTGTAGAGAATGTGGTGCTAAATCTTTAAACTCAAAGAGCTGTAATCTTGAAAAACTTCATAACATCAAAAAAAAATAAGTGATGAAATATTCAGTTTGTAATTTTGTACTAAAGGTGATGAATATGATATCTCCATTGGTGCAGCACTAATATTTCTTGTATAATGCCTTGTAAGATTAAAATTTAGATGTGAAAAAACAGGCCACAAATGTTATTTATATTGTCATCAGTACTATAATAGACTGGCCATGTACATACCAGAAAATATTGTGTGATGCAGATTTATTTTTGTTTTTGGGAAAAACTGTATCAAAGAATTTTATATTTTTAGGTTTTCTTGCATAAATAAAAAAATCTAGCTGGTTTATTCAAGAAGACAGGAAAAAATGTCGGTACCAAAATATAGAAAATGAGCAGAAATTTGGGAGGAGTATGGTAATGTTGGCTTTTCTTGTGATGATACCAAGTAGAGAGTCAAGCAGATGGTCACGTGTCACTGTGTATGGTAATATCAAAAAACATCTTTTGCTATAAATGTGTTACATCATTAACTAATAGAGGCCAGCTCATCAGTGAAAGTGGGACAGAGTGTAATGAGCATGATGTGGTCTATGTACTACTGTAATTAGTTGTAATTTACTGAAACAAACTATGAAAACATAGTTAACATCCATTCTGTAGTTTCCCATTTTCATAAAATATCCTCCCAGAAAAAAAGTATCTTAGTGCTAATTCACTGTAAACGGGAAATAGCAACATTCAACTTTAGAGATTGAGAACACATAAAATGTCTTAGAATATAAATATTGTACATACTATAGTGGAAAACTCATGTAGATCATTCAGCTGTTTGCTTCATAGCAGTGCTTCCTCAGGTAACGAAGACCTATGGGTCTGTTATACAGTCAAGCACTGTATATTTGGAATTTCTTCCTTTATAGACTCTTGAGAGCTCATTCTGATATTGTACTTGGGAATAGTTTGATATAATGGGGGCTTGGTGTATGGTCTGTAAATTTTGATTAACTTTGTTAAAGCCTGTTACAAGATATGTAGATATGAGTGCAGCTTTAAGGTATCTTACCCTTAAAACCAGCAGCTGGCTTCTGCCTCATTCAGCCTTGTCTGCTGAGACAGAATGCAAATGTTGCCTAGTATTATAATAATTGCATGTCATTCGTTAAACAGTGATTGTGAAGTAAAATTATGGCAATGTTTGTAGCCATGTTCCTTGTATATATAATGGGACATGGTAAAGTATATAATTTCTAGTGAGAATGTGATGAAATAAATGTTAATATTTAAGCCTTTAAGTATGGCCAGAATCTTGAAGATTGACAAGTTGAATCCTAGTAGTGTTTGATAACAAAAATCATGCATAGCACCAAAATGTTTGTAATTTTTTGTACAAATTTGAGCTTCTATACAATTTGCAGATGTTCCTGTCATATTAGGTGTGTTTCAGGGTGTGGTACTTCATGAAGCATGGGTTGAGAGGTAGTGCATACAGGGATTTTCTTCTAGTAAGGACTAAATTGCATGTGATCCAACAAAACATCCAAAGGGCTAAAATGGCATGCATGCACACATGCACATGTACATATATCATATGTGACTGCTTAGATGGACATATACCCTATACATATATACAGTGGACCCCCACCTTACGATATTATTTCATTCCAGAGGTCTGTTTGGGTACCGTTATAGACCAAATTTGTTCCCATAAGGAATATTGTGAATTAGATTAGTCCGTTTCAGACCCCCAAAAATACACGTACAAAAGCACTTAAAAAAATACACTTACATAATTGGTCGAGTTGGGAGCTGATCATAAGGCAGGGGTCCACTGTATATACATTTTTTTAACATGGCCATTTCCCACTGAGGCAGGGTGCCCCCCCCCCCCCCCAAAAAAAAAAAAGAAAAACCCACTTTCACCATCACTCATACATAATCAGTCTTTGCAGAGGCACCCAGATATGACAGTTTAGATGTCACTCCAAACCCCTTTAAAGTGAAGGCATTGTAGTTTCCATTTCCAGGACTCAAGTCTGGCTAACTGGTTTCCCTGAATCCCTTTACAAAATATTACCCTGCTCACACCCCGACAGCTTTTCAGATCCCAAAAACCATTTGTCTCCATTCATTCCTATCTAATACGCTCACAAACGCTTGCTGAAAGTCCAAGCCCCTCTCCCGCAAAACCTTTCCCCTACAGATTTATCCGCTAAGTCATTCTACCTTGTTCCATTTTCTCTAAATGAACAAACCACCTCAACAGCCACTCTTCAGCCCTATGACTAATACTTTTAGTAACTCCACACCTAATTTCCACACTATGAATTCTTTGCATAATATTTACACCATATATTGCCCTTAGACAGGACATCTCCACTGCCTCCAGCTGCCTCCTCGCTGCAGCATTTACAACCCATGCTTCACACTCATATAAGAATGTTGGTACCACTATACTCCCTTACATTTCCTTCATAGATAACTTTTTTTTTTTCTCCACAGATACCTCAACACACCACTCACCTTTTTTCCTTCATCAATTCTATATACAATGTATAGTATACAGTATATACAAGGCTCCCTGTTTACGGGTTAATGTTTTCCAGAGGTTTTTTTTTAGGTTGCTTAGGATGGATTTACTTTGAGTTCAGAATGCCTCCTACTAGAATCAACCTGAATTAACAGTGCTTGACTGTGTATAGATCAATACATTCAAATTTAGGCGAGAAATACTGAATATGTATGCCTTTTCTTCGTAAAATATCCAACATTTTAGATGTATGTACAATGAGTGGGGAAAAATCTACTGGTCATTTTAGACAAATGTTGCATTCTTCCACTAGAATTAAGAACATTCCTATACAGTATGTGAATAAAAAAAAGGCAAGTTATTTATTATTATATTCATAAGAAAGTGCTAACACTGAATTGTTAATACAGCAATAGTGCGTTATTTAGTATCCAGTATTATGTGAAAAACAAATATAACCCATACTTTAAAGATAATAGTATACGTAATCAAACTAAGTACTAAACCTGAAAGGGTCATACAACACTGATATATTTTAAAGAAAGTATATGCAAAAGGCTAAAAAAGTTATAGTATATGAATTTACACTATACACAATTACTTTTCTCTTTCCTGACTTTGGAGAAGTACACTTTACACAAGCTATATAAGGCAATGAAAATTTCAAGCACAGGAAAACAAATAGCAGGAGAATGTGGAAATAATCCACAAGTATGTGTGTATGGTAGAATGCTTAGGAGTGCTACAGAGCGATTGGGGCCAAAATGTACAATTGTCAGTGGAGAGACAATTCCTCCTACTTTGCCTGTGGTATCACTTCCATAGTTAGGTGATGCTGACTAGTCTTATAATTTAAAACAGTGAAGTTACAACCATATACTGTACATATATCCTTTAAAATGTTGTGTTTTAGAACTTTACAGATTATGTAAAATAATGATTATGATACATATATAAAAATTGCCTCCAAATTTTTATATAAGTATTTTAAATAAATTACATGTTAAATAAATAAGTATATATTGATACACATGTACATATATACATAAATATACTGTACATACAAGCATTATATATATATAACTTGTCGAATAGGTAAAACTGGTCAATTAGCACTAACTCATTTAAAATTAAGTCCTTTCTAAAGAGTTCTTTTATACATTTAAAGATATATTTTTTTAATTTATGTTAATATGAAAATTAATGATTTTGTACCAAAAGAACCTTAGGAAACTTACTTAACCTTATTATAACAAGGACAATTTAATTAAGCCTAATCCAACTAAATATATTTTATACCAGTTTATAATAATTTAATAATAAACAAACACAATGAAATATATTTTTTTTCGTTTAGGTTCAGAATGATTTTTGCAAAGCCATTGCATATGCAAATTTTTGCTTCCCCTATTCGGCAATAAGTGCTTTGCTATTTAAGTCATAATTGCAAATTTTATGTATTCGGCATGACATATATATATATATATATAAACACACCGGTAGTGCAGTGATCAGCACAGTCAGCCCACAACCAACTGATCTCGGGTTCATATCCTGGGCAGGGCAAGATATACAGGCAAGTCTCCTCATACTCGTTCTCTCTGTTTACCTAGCAGTAAGTAGGTTCCTGGGTGTTAGTTGACTGTTGTGGGTTGCTTCCTGGAGAATGGTCAAATGCTACATCTGAGAAACTCAAATTCCTTCAGATGACCTACTCGCTCTCTGCGTGAGAACCAGTGAAGTGACACGTCAGTAAACACACACACACACACACATAGATATACTATTTTAGTGTGGAAATATATAACAAACACGACTTTCTTTAAATATTCAGTATTTAATTTTTTTTTTTTTTGCGAGTGTGGCAGAAGTTTGCTACAAAACATTTTGATCCAAAAAATCTTGGGTAATAATATGCTGAGTATCAAAACTTTGTGGCATTGTGTAATTTGAAGAGTTTGCATGTAGCACAATAACCACTAGGAGAAGCATAGGAGCCTTGTTCAAATGTGCAGCATGCAAGTTTTTGCTAAACTATTTATATATGGCTTTTTGTTCAGAAGTTAAGGAAGATAATAAATGGCTGCAATAAATTTTGTTTCTCTGACCTGTGTATAATATTTTATTCAATAAGCATCTCTAATTTTTTAATTACAGTATTAGTCATCAGCTGAATACTGTTAATTTAATAGTATGTCATGGGTACTACATGGACGATACATAAACCGAGTCCCATCAAACGAGGTGCTTTGATGTCGGTGAGGGGTTCTTGATCCAAGGAACTAGAATTATAATTTTTTGTTGGATCAAACCTGATTGTCAATCATTTCCCAGGTGCTGTATTACCCCCAAGGGTTTAGCTTTCCTCCATGAACCAACAATTCAGATGATTAACAGAGAATAAGTTGTAACAACCTGAAAAGAATGACATACAAATTACAACAGCTAAGTGAGATGAAAAAATACCGAGTGGATCAAACAGAAAACCAGGAAAGGTACACCACTAAATTTCCTCATGATAAGGGAGAAAGTACATATCGGCCATTTCCCACCAAGGCAGGATGACCCAAAAAAGAAGAAACATTTGCATCGTCATTTACTGTCTTGCCAGAGGCGTGCTAACATTACAGTTTAAAAACTGCAACATATCTCCATCCCCCCTTCAGAGTGCAGGCACTGTACTTTGATGAAGTACAAAAGCCTGAACAAGTGTGCGTGCTTAGTTTTGGCCGGTAGTACAAATTTAAAGTGTGCAACTGGCTGTATAATATTAAATTTACTAGTGAAAGTGCATCTACCGATCAAACTACTGCCAAAAATTCCCTCCAGAACTGGAGGAATTACAGTGGTACCTCAAGTTACAAACTTAAATTTGTTCCAGAAGGCTCTTTGAGTGCCGTTACCAAACGAATTTGTTCCCATAAGGAATAATGTAAATTATATTAGTCGTTTCAGACCCCCAAAAATACATTTACAAGAGCACTTACAAAAATACACTCACATAATTGTTCGAGTTGAAAGCTGTCTGAAACTCGAGGTACCACTGTATTTCTGAGGGTGGCTGTGAGATAATGTTTTATCAGATGCTGTGTAGAACTTGCACCAACCAGCAAGAGAAAAGTACACTGGGAGTCAAGGTTTATTTATTGCTCCAAGACTCCCCTATCCTTTACCCTTTCACTATCTGTCATGTAGAACTATCTTATTGATACCAGGGTCCATCATGAACTCAGCTTACTCAGATAAGCTGCATTGGACTGAATAAGCCACTGACTGGCAAAACATTTCCAGAATTAAGATACCCAAATGTCTCATTTATCAACTAGTCAGTTTTCTAAAAAATTTATTCATATAACTGTCTATACCTTTCACGAGATGCCAGAAAACATACTTTAGTGATGTTTCATCTAGGTATAAGGACAATTTAACATGAAGCCAGTAAAAAAGAATTACTGTACATTCAGAGCAACAATTATATAAAAAAAATTCATACTGCTTACAAAATAAACAGAGTGAAATGTCAGGTGCCAAATACTCCACTAGTTGATTTATTTTTCTGTCTAAGTGTAGTAAATCTAATTTCTGCTGCATGAAGGCGGTCTTCTACTTCACCTATCCTGGAAAGGAACAAGATATAAGAACATAAGAAAGGAGGAACACTGCAGCAGGCCTGGTGGCCCATACTAGGCAGGTCCTTTACAATCCATCCCAGTAACAATCATGTCTCCCCTCATCTAACAAGTGAATGTAATTTAAGGGTCTTCAATCTTTCTTCATAAGGAAGATTTCTAATGCTATGTATTAATTTAGTCATTCTATGCTGAATGTTTTCTAACGAATTTATGTCCATTCTGTAATATGGAGACCAGAACTGGGCTTCATAATCTAGGTGAGGCCTTACTAATGATGTATAAATCTGAAGTATAACCGTTTATATATATATTATAAAACAACAATGGGCTAAAACTGATCCCTGTGGAATGCCACTTGTTACAGATCCCCACTCAGATTTAACCCCATTGATGCACACTCTTTGCTTCCTATAAGTGAGCATGACTCGATCCATGACAGCATTTTTCATATACATCCAAGTTAAAAAAAAAAGGTTTGAGAAAATAAACTATATGTTTCTTATGATCACAAAATGGATGGGAAAAAATTTATGTAGATGAAGAGAGAAAGATAACAAAAAGAGAGATGAAGAGAAATATTATTGAATTCTGTACCCTTCCACTACATATATTCTACACTCCCACTCCCAACATTCTACACTATCACTCATAAGAACATAAGAAGGAACATTGCAGCAGGCCTACTGGCCCAGTCACATTCTACTTGTGCTACTAGGTCAGATGCACAGCATCTGACCTAGTAGCACAAGCTAGTCAGGTCCAACTCACACCCACCCCACACCCACTTATGTATTTATCCAACCTATTTTTAAAACTACACAACGTCTTAGCTTCTATGATGGTACTCGGGAGTTTGTTCCACTCATCCACAACTCTATTACCCAACCATTGCTTTCCTATATCTTTCCTGAATCTGAATTTTTCCAACTTCAATCCATTGCCTTGAGTCCTGTCTATGCTAGATATTTTTAGCATTCTATTTACATCCCCTTTATTAATTCCTGTTAACTTCTCTACACTACCACTCCCACTACCAACATTCTACACTACCACTCCCACTACCAACATTCTACACTACCACTCCCATTACCAACATTCTACTCTACCACTCTCACTACCAACATTCTACACCACTCCCACTACCAACATTCTACACCACTCCCACTACCAACATTCTATACCACTTCCACTACCATCATTCTACACTGCCACTCCCACTACCAACATTCTCTACACTACCACTCCCACCATTCTACACTACCACTCCCACTACCAACATTCTACACTACCACTCCCATTACCAACATTCTACACTACCACTCTCACTACCAACATTCTACCACCACCCCACACTACCAACATTCTATACTACCACTCCCATTACCAACAATCTACACTACCACTCCCACTACCAACATTCTATACTACCACTCCCACTACCAACATTCTATACTACCACTCCCATTACCAACATTCTACACTACCACTCCCACTACCAACATTCTACTCTACCACTCTCACTACCAACATTCTACACCACTCCCACTACCAACATTCTACACCACTCCCACTACCAACATTCTATACCACTTCCACTACCATCATTCTACACTGCCACTCCCACTACCATCATTCTACACTACCACTCCCACCATTCTACACTACCACTCCCACTACTAACATTCTACACTACCACTCCCACCTTTCTACATTACCACTCCCACTACTAACATTCTACACTACCACTACCAATATTCCACACTACAACTTCCACTACCAACATTCTATACCACTCCCACTGCCAACATTCTACACCACTCCTGCTACCAGCATTGTACACCACTCCCACTACCAACATTCTACACCAGTCTTAGCCTACATAACAAGACCTGTGAAACTAATTATTGCTAAGTGATTTATCCTTGATCGTAGGTTCAGGGTTGGAATACATTTCTTTAAAGCAAATTTAGCAATATCACTAGGTCTTCATCATCCCTTTGACAGACTGAAATTTTCTTGGGTGTTGAATCTTAAGCAGCTGATACTGTCCTGTGCATCTTTTAATAAATTAACTATAAAAAATGGTATGAAATTAAGTCTTGCCTAAAATGTTATGCATAATATGGACTTTGTAATAACATTCCTATGTACTGCATACCTATAGTGTCTTATACCTGTCAGTAATTATTTTATGATTTTATTTGCACGAAAATGTAGTATAAATTTATACAAGTACTAGACAGCTAGAGTAAAACTAAGCAGGAGTCCTAGACTAGACAACTAGTATAAAATCAAATATGAATACAGTACTAGACAGCTAGTGACAAACTAAACATGAATATTAAACAGTGTGAGACTTGACACCTGATCCACCACAAGGGCTGGTCTCAGACCGGGCCAGGGGCAGTGACCCCTGAAAAACTCTCCAGGTATACACCTAGTGTAAAGTCAGACATGAGTACCAGACACATACCTGTCTTTGTACTGAGAAGCAACATCCTTGGTAACAGATAAACTGGTGTTGGCTTCATGCAAGGAATTTGTAAGCTGCCGATTTTTTTCTTGAAGTTCTTGTAAGCGACGAGTTAAATCTGATATTCTCTCTTCATATTCCAACTTCTGGGCAGAAACATGAGACTCTAGCCTGAAACATGTCAATTTATAATACAAGACATTATGGTACTATAGTGGTAATGCCTAATATATCCACAAACAAATCACTCATGATGGTGGTACTTTTTTTCTTAATCAGGAGAAAAGAAAAAATTTCCCCTAACACAGGTCTTAGTCATATGATGACCTAGTAAGTGAAGCTTTTGGTCTCTTGACCAAGGCCTTCCACTGGCTTCCTAGTCCAAGTCACAAAAGAGTACATCATAAAATACCTCTATCTTCACACCACTTAAAAACAAAGGAGATTTTTTTTGTTTCCTAAGATATTCACTAATGAATTAAAATTAAATGTACTGCATATCTACAAGATATGATAGCTATTGCATTATAAACTACTATATAATTACAGAGAGGATTCTGAGCAAGGATATTATCATCATATGCCATAATCCCACACTACATTTCATCCCTCACAAGTCCTTATCACTCTCGTGTGAAAAAATGTGGAGCTTGATGTATGTTAAATCTTTGCTAAGTGTATAATACAGAAATACTTTGTAGACAAAGCTAGTGACTGCAATGTTATTATTACAGAAATGGAGTGTAACGTGGTACTGGTACATAAAAAAGAAACAAGTAAATATATGTAAAAGATTAAGCCAAATATGTCCCCTTATGACTGCACCAAGGAAATGTAACATGAAAAAGGGTGTTACAGCCCGACTTTGTCTCTCTGAAACTTTCCACTGATCTTATTAATGAGGTAAGGGTAGACTTATAAACGTCTATACTCATGTTTAAATCACTATTTACTGTAGCTCATAATGTTGAAATTCAATTATATTTAAAATACAGGACAATAATTAAGCATGTGTTTACCCAATAAATAGGCAATTCTTAATTCCTACAATGACCAAAGTCCACATTTCAGTCCAGCATGAAAACTCTACAGTACATATTTTTTCCTTGATACTACAGTGGACATTCATAATTTACTTAGGTTGCATTCCTAAAAACTACACTATCAGTAATTTGCACAATTTAGAGTGAAAAAACATGTGGGAAAAATAGGGCTGTGTTCCTCATACCTCCAAAGACCCATAAAGTTCTTTTTTAAGTTATAATGCTTCAAAACATTATATTTTCTGAACTCTAGTGAGGTTCAGATTGTGAAATGGCTCTATTAATATTTGTTACTCTCCTTCAAGCTGGGTTGCTGATGCTTAACATCTTGAAGTGAGTGAAGACAGTGGTTGTGGCCCTACCGAGCTAAGACTGGTGGTTGGGTTTCATGTGATGAAGGTTGGGGATCTTGGAATGTTGATACAGTTTCATCTGGTGACTGTTGTAGTGGAGTGCTCAGGTATTCTGGGATATACCACTGGTTTGTTTTACCCTGCAATTCTTTATACAGCTCATTGCACATCCTAAACTGGTTAAATCATCCAACACTAAATGTGCAAATTTTTTTAAGCTGTTCATCCTCCTCACACACTGTTTCATATTATGATCAAGTTTTTTCCCCCTAATAATAAGGCCATTAAGTGGAACACCTTTCTTTGTTTGCTTTTCAATCCAAACATTCAGCAAATTTTCTGTTTTATTTAGCTGTAATGACCTATTCCTCAGTCTTTTCACTGTGTCAAATTGAAGATTACTCATTGCACAAGCCTATATGTTTATCTCATTGTTTCAAATTCAATGAATCATTGATTCTCTAACACCAAACACTAATGTTATCGCAGTGATGCAGCAGCACTAGTGTTTGGTGTTAGTTTCATGCTTAATTTTCTTCCTTGCTTCACCAGTGTCACCTGCACTTTGTTTGAATGCTATGATAAATATCCAGAGGTGAGATGGGGCGATGAAAAGAAAAACTGAGCAATGATATACACTGACCCCCATGGGAGGCTGTTTGTTTACATTCATTCTACTCTTAATAAATTAAACTTACTTTGAATAATTTGCCTGAATAGCTGTATTATTCTCATAGAGTTTTGCCACAACATCTCTATGGGAAGTCTCTGTAGCATCCAGGCGAGCCTCATTAATGGCTGAGAGCTCCTCTATCTCCTCTGTTTTCATTCTTCATGCACAAAAAAAAAGTTCATAATTAATACTGTTTCTAAACTGTAATTTAAATAAATAAATAAATAAATAAATAAATAAAATATATATATATATATATATATATATATATATATATATATATATATACACACACAGGTAGTAGGTTGGTAGACAGCAACCACCCAGGGAAGTACTACCGTCCTGCCAGATGACTGTGAAACAGAAACCTGTAACTGTTTTGCATGATGGTAGGATTGCTGGTTTCTTTTTCTGTCTCATAAACACGCTAGATAACAGGGATATCTTGCTACTCCTACTTACACTTTGGTCACACTTCACAGACACGCACATGCATATATATACGTATACATACATCTAGGTTTTTTCTCCTTTTTCTAAATAGCTCTTGTTCTTCTTTATTTCTTCTATTGTCCATGGGGAAGTGGAAAAGAATCTTTCCTCCGTAAGCCATGCGTGTCTTATGAGGCGACTAAATGCCGGGAGCAATGGGCTAGTAACCCCTTCTCCTGTAGACATTTACTAAAAAAGAGAAGAAGAAAAACTTTATAAAACTGGGATGTTTGAATGTGCGTGGATGTAGTGCGGATGACAAGAAACAGATGATTGCTGATTTTATGAATGAAAAGAAGTTGGATGTCCTGCCCTAAGCGAAACAAAGCTGAAGGGGGTAGGGGAGTATCGGTGGGGGAAATAAATGGGATTAAATCTGGAGTATCTGAGAGAGTTAGAGCAAAGGAAGGGGTAGCAGTAATGTTGAAGGATCAGTTATGGAAGGAGAAAAGAGAATATGAATGTGTAAATTCAAGAATTATGCGGATTAAAGTAAAGGTTGGATGCGAAAAGTGGGTCATAATAAGCGTGTATGCACCTGGAGAAGAGAGGAATGTAGAGGAGAGAGAGAGATTTTGGGAGATGTTAAGTGAATGTATAGGAGCCTTTGAACCAAGTGAGAGAGTAATTGTGGTAGGGGACCTAAATGCTAAAGTAGGAGAAACTTTTAGAGAGGGTGTGGTAGGGAAGTTTGGGGTGCCAGGTGTAAATGATAATGGGAGCCCTTTGATTGAACTTTGTATAGAAAGGGGTTTAGTTATAGGTAATACATATTTTAGGAAAAAGAGGATAAATAAGTATACAAGATATGATGTAGGGCGAAATGACAGTAGTTTGTTGGATTATGTATTGGTAGATAAAAGACTGTTGAGTAGACTTCAGGATGTACATGTTTATAGAGGGGCCACAGATATATCAGATCACTTTTTAGTTGTAGCTACACTGAGAGTAAAAGGCAGATGGGATACAAGGAGAATAGAAGCATCAGGGAAGAGAGAGGTGAAGGTTTAAAACTAAAAGAGGAGGCAGTTAGGGCAAGATATAAACAGCTATTGGAGGATAGATGGGCTAATGAGAGCATAGGCAGTGGGGTCGAAGAAGTATGGGGAAGGTTTAAAAATGTAGTGTTGGAGTGTTCAGCAGAAGTTTGTGGTTACAGGAAGGTGGGTGCGGGAGGGAAGAGGAGCGATTGGTGGAATGATGATGTAAAGAGAGTAGTAAGGAAGAAAAAGTTAGCATATGAGAAGTTTTTACAAAGTAGAAGTGATGCAAGGAGGGAAGAGTATATGGAGAAAAAGAGAGAGGTTAAGAGAGTGGTGAAGCAATGTAAAAAGAGAGCAAATGAGAGAGTGGGTGAGATGTTATCAACAAATTTTGTTGAAAATAAGAAAAAGTTTTGAGTGAGATTAACAAGTTAAGGAAGCCTAGAGAACAAATGGATTTGTCAGTTAAAAATAGGAGAGGAGAGTTATTAAATGGAGAGTTAGAGGTATTGGAAGATGGAGCGAATATTCTGAGGAATTGTTAAATGTTGATGAAGATAGGGAAGCTGTGATTTCGTGTATAGGGCAAGGAGGAATAACATCTTGTAGGAGTGAGGAAGAGGCCAGTTTGTGAGTGTGAGGGAAGTTCGTGAGGCAGTAGGTAAAATGAAAGGGGGTAAGGCAGCCGGGATTGATGGGATAAAGATAGAAATATTAAAAGCAGGTGGGGATATAGTTTTGGAGTGGTTTGGTGCAATTATTTAATAAATGTATGAAGAGGGTAAGGTACCTAGGGATTGGCAGAGAGCATGCATAGTTCCTTTGTATAAAGGCAAAGGGGACAAAAGAGAGTACAAAAATTATAGGGGATAAGTTTGTTGAGTGTACCAGGTAAAGTGTATGGTAGAGTTATTATTGAAAGAATAAGAGTAAGACGGAGAATAGGATAGCAGATGAACAAAGAGGCTTTAGGAAAGGTAGGGGGTGTGTGGACCAGGTGTTTACAGTGAAACACATAAGTGAACAGTATTTAGATAAGGCTAAAGGGGTCTTTGTGGCATTTATGGATTTGGAAAAGGCGGTATGACAGGGTGGATAGGGGGGCAATGTGCAGATGTTGCAGGTGTATGGTGTAGGAGGTAGGTTACTGAAAGCAGTGAAGAGTTTTTACAAGGATAGTGAGGCTCAAGTTAGAGTATGTAGGAAAGAGGGAAATTATTTCCCAGTAAAAGTAGGCCTTAGACAAGGATGTGTGATGCCACCATGGTTGTTCAATATATTTATAGATGGGGTTGTAAGAGAGTAAATGCGAGGGTCTTGGCAAGAGGTGTGGAGTTAAAAGATAAAGAATCACACATAAAGTGGGAGTTGTCACAGTTGCTCTTTGCTGATGACACTGTGCTCTTTGGAGATTCTGAAGAGAAGTTGCAGAGATTGGTGGATGAATTTGGTAGGGTATGCAAAAGAAAAAGGGAAAAATAAAAATTAAAAAGTGAATACAGAAAGAGTAAGGTTATGAGGATAACAAAAAGATTAGGTGATGAAAGATTGATATCAGATTGAGGAGAGGTTATGGAGGAGGTGAATGTATTCAGATATTTTGGGAGTGGACGGTCTGCGGATGGGGTCCTTATGAAAGATGAGGTGAATCATAGAATTTGATGAGGAGGGAAAAGGGAGAGTGGTGCACTTAGGAGTCCTTGGAGACAAAGACTTTGTCCTTGTAGGCAAAGAGGGAATGTATGAGAGTATAGTTTACCAAACCTCTTATAGTGGGTGAGAAGCCCTGGGTGATGAATGTTTGCAGCGAGGAGAGAAGCCTGGAGCAGTGAGATGTCATGTCTTGAGGGTACAATGTGTGGTGTGAATACAATGCAGAGAATCATAGTTTTTGAAGTTTATGAGGAGGTGCTGGATTACCAAACTGTTGTCCAGAGGGACTGAGGAAGGGGTATTGTTGAGGTGTTCAGGCCATGTAAGAGAATGGAGCGAAACAGAATGACTTCAAGAGTGGTAATCAGACTGTAGTGGTAATGAAGGCGGGTAGGGGTCTGGCTAGGAAAGGTTGGAGGAGGGGGTAAAAGGAGTTTTTGTGGTGCGAGGGGCTGGACTTCCAGCGGCATGCGTGAGCGTGTTTGATAGGAGTGAATGGAAACAAATGGTTTATAATACTTGACGTGCTGTTGGAAGTGTGAGCAAGTAACATTTATGGAAGGGGTTCAGGGAAACCCGGCAGGCCTGACTTGATCCTGTGAGATGGTAAGTACTGTGCCTGCAGCTCTGAAGGAGGGGTGTTAATGTTGCAGCTTAAAAACTGTAGGTGCAAAGCATGCCTTCTGCAAGACAGTGGATGGAGTGAATGATGGTGAAAGTTTTTCTTTTTTTGGGCCACCCTGCCTTTTGGTGGGGTTTTTGGGGGGGGGGTGGGGAAAAAAACGCCATTGTGATCATAATAAATATAAATATAGGGAGTACCACCACAGAACTGTCGTAGGACCCCTCATCCCATAGACAAGAATAAACTTGCTTTCAGGAAAACTCAAGGTTCACCCTGAAGGTCTGTTTGAGAATTTTCTCCTACCACCCCCCTATATTTTCAAGAATGTTTTATTTAAAGACACAATTACACTAGCCAAACATCACAAAAATACAACAGAAAGTAAAACAACATTAGGTACACAGAGCTACATCTCAAATACTTCGTCCAGCTCCCCTGCAGTGGGGCTCCGTGCCCATAAATCTGCAGGCATTTCCTCTCTGGATCGCAACACTGAGTCTCAGAAAGAGGAAGCTGGTCACCCTGTGGGTCCTTGTTTACTATGATGAGCTTTTCAACCCAGCATTTTGAGAGGAACTTTTAGAGCACACTTGCCCATGCACCAAGTGTTTTCCGACCCTATTGGAATGAAGTTATAACAAGGTGGGAAGGACTTCAATTTTCGATCTTCTGGTCTCCCCTGTGGCTGCAGCTTCCACTCCTCCACTACGGATATTGCAAGTAGTGTCTGCCAATGTGTCAGCACAGTGAGTCCCAGGCAATCTGCTTTCCATCCTTCCAGGAAGCATATGCTTCCATCAGGACGCTTTTGACTTCCCATCAACCTCTGTACATGGGGTTCCCGTTGAGCTGGGCAACGGGCCTGTGGCGAGGCTTCTCTTTATTAGTCAATTATCTCCTCCTGTCTGGCAATACTTCCCTTCTGCTTGTGGCAGCACAAGACCATGAAGTCCCAATTGATCAGCATGTCGCCCTGCCGCAAATACACCTATGTTTTCGGTGAGGATGGGGCTGGCTAGGTGCAGAGCAACACCAATCCGAATTGCCTTTGGGTCGAAATGGGTGCCCAGGGAGGAATTGGGAACAGCAACAGGATATCTCCTGAGTGTGGTGTGGCCTTCAGCTGCCAGAAACACTTTGTTCTTTCCTTCCTGAACATAGGACAGCATTGGTGGTTGGGCCATTTTTTTCCATGTCGGTTTGTCCGCAGTGGGACTGTTTGTGCTGTTTGGTGAGGAGTGTCTATGGAGGAGTCTGTAAGGTGACCCACCGAATCGCTGCATCATTAAACCTGGGCTTGAGCTTCTACCACGTCCTCTCAATGTTCGGGCACTATCGTTCTTGACTAATGGCACTGGAAGCCAAACACGAAGACAGAAAAGCAGGTAAAGCAACATGCGTTGC